AAGGATTTTACTAGCATGTTACCAACATTGCACTTGAAAACCTGTTATCTTATATATCAGCTGAGTTTTACACTATTTTGTTACATCATTTAACTGTAAAAGAAAATGCATTCCCCCCGGATTGCTACTGTGCTATGTGACTAATTGATCTCAAATCGATTTCAGTTAGTATAACTTGCTTGTAGCAGTGCCCTTTCTCTCTACAATTGCATACTACCAAGTAGAAATGAGGTTAACTCCAACACTAACTGCCTCTGCCTCCATGCCCAAAGCAGTGCCACTCAACCTGAGGCAGCACCATACTTCTACTGGTTGTCGCCTGACATTAAGATCAACTTGACATTTTCCTATCCAAATCTTTCTGCTTTTGCTCAATAAAATTTCTCATCCACTTGCTTCATTCTCCTGGTGCCCTCTAATGCTTTTGATCCTAGCTAAAGTAGGAGCTGTAAAAATGTATTTATGTCACTGACATTTTTTATTCTGATATCTGAAAATTTTATTTTAAAATATAAGGTTAGCATCAAATAAGTTTTTACAAATAGTTGAGTATCAGCTGTAAAATTTTTGATTCTAAATTCTCAAATTTTGAAGATTTTTGTCTCTAATAGAGTATATGATCTACTTCAGACACTAAACCACCTTAAAAAAGTGGGGGGAAAAAAGTTGTGTGCACAATAATAAACAAAAGCATGCACACACACACACACACATATATATATATATATATATATATATATATATATATATATATATATATATTTGGGCAGCAATCTCTTTATACATGTTTCATTGAATATGACAGACAAGAAAAATGTTAAATTCTTCTAATGTGCTTACAGTTTTCTGGATGTGGCTAAGAAAGTGTATTGTCCCAAGTGCTTTTGACCAATTCATTAGCTACTTAAAAAAAACTTAATAAAAAAAAAAAAAGATTTTCTTTGTCTGTTACATTCAATGAAGCACATATATTTATTTCAAACTACTTTGGTTATTTATTTATTAACCAAACCAGCCCGAAGATCCAAAAGGTGAGACATTTCTATCCTTTTTAAAAGAAATGTTCTCAAAATTGGTTGGCAGTTTAGGTATTGAGCATTTTTTTAAATCAGCTAGAACTGGTCAATTTCAGAATAGGTTTTGCCCCCATAATTGATTTAAGTGAATGAAGGTGTGTGTGTGTGTGAGGAGTTTTTAGTCTAAAGGGAAAGAGTTCAAATTCTCTTTTCAAGAATTTGGAAAGTTACTTAATTTATATACTACTTTTGTAAGTAACACAGAAAACAGAAATATGTTGATGTAAAAAAGTCTTGGCAACATATTCGGAGAATGCTCAGTTCATTACTGTTGATACAATTAATCAATTGTATACACTGCTTAGGAAAAATTTACAACTTACAGAAACAAGTTCACATGAACTTGCACAAATATTGGTCAGCAGTTAAACAGTTGCCTGCTTATTTGTTTTTTTTTTTTATTTTTTTATTCATTTGTTTTTTGTTTGTTTTGTTTTTGTTTTATTTGTTTTGTTTTTTTTGCTTGAAAGTTATTTGTAAACAATGAAAAATAAATTTATTACAAGAATCTAAAACAGAGATGCTCCTAGCTAAATCAAGGACAGTTTTCAACATTTCCTACTTAAGGTTAAGTAGAATCTACTGGAGAAAATAGTTCTTCACTGTATTTGTTGATACTCAAAAGAAATTCTTTATTACAAATTGCTGGAACTTGGACCAACACAATCTTTGAATAAAAGTAAAAGATATGTTTCTGAAATTTATCAAATCAAAACCTTAAATCATTCTATAATGAAATAAACAATTTACCTGAAAGGGGACATAAGATTTTAGAAAACTATGAAAAATACTTTGATGAATGAATAATGATGCTATGAATTTATATGAATATAGATTTTTTTTTAAAAAATGGGGACTTTTGCATTAATCTGATATATTGAAATATTTAAAATATTTTATGGTAATAGCATCAAATATGAAAAGTACAGTCATCATATAATCCCATTTTTAGTACGTTTTTCCTTGCTCTTATTATTCATCTTATTGTTCCTAATTTTATGTATATAAATATACACATGCCTCCAATGCATAAGGTAAAAACTTGCCATTCATCAGTATTCTCAAATATCCAATGTTTTTTTTATTTAAGTTCTTTAATCAGATGCAAAGTAGCTATTATCTGCCCATGCTATATGTTAATTAATGATACAATAATCCTACCTAAAAGTAAGCTGTTAGACAGACCCACTTTTAAAATATCTTAAGAGTTACTTTATTTGTCAGTCTATTGTTAGCTTCATCTTGTTCTGAGTCCTCTTTATATAGTTCCTACCTTCAGTGCTTGGTGGTACCAGCATATTACTGCAGTGTAATATTGCACATACACGCACACACTTTTAATGTATCATGGGCCAATAAAATAGAGTAAACGAAATTGGTTGCTTTTATTTTATTAGGCAGCAGAAAATCCTCAGCTTGGATAGAAAGTAAGATCAATTTTAAATCTGCTGTCATGAATTCAATAAATAAAATTTATAAATTTCAAACATTTTTATTATAAATCTTAAAATTTTTTCCTTTAAAAAATTTCTGTAATAACGTTAATTAACCAAAAGTTAGTTAGATTTTTTTTTTTCTTTACAAACTGCATGGAATATCCATTTACCTATCTTTTTTTCCCAATATCACTTACATTGAACCTTAATACAAGCAACTGACATGTTGGAAGCAGTTTAGTCTCAACATAAATTCTAATTTCCAGTTGAAAACCCAAAAGATTTTAGGCAGTATATAAACTCTCACCTTCATTAAACATTGTGTATACTCAATAGGCTGCTTTTGATTCAGGTTTAAATTCATAGAGTAGAAAGCCTCTTATTATCAACTTTTGGACTGACATGTTTATTTTACACATTACTGCCATGAATATACTTTTCTGAATGTTATCTAATTTTATTTGATGTGTGGGATCTATGTTTATGGGTTTGCTATTCAAAGGATTAAAAAAATGGCCAATCTAAAGCTGTACAACTCTTTTTGTTCCCATGTTAAAATTTGCATTTTATAGAAAGTGAGTCCATCATTTTATAGTTTTTAATGCTACAGGTACATTAACCAATAGTTTCAGAAAATAATCTTATTTCTAGGATCTTCAAATAAAAATAAAAAGTGCTTTATCCTCTTTTTGCTATTATAAACATTAGAATCTATCCCACAAAGATACACTAATTTTGTTGGTTTACATAATTTACAGACAAGAAAAATTAGTGGATGTATATTTTTTGTATTGATAAGAAGAGATGTGTTGCTTTCAGATAAATTTTTCTGAGTAATTTTTTTTGTTACTCGTCATCAGCTAAATGAGACCACCAATGTTTTTATTTATTTTATTTTTTGTGTGAAATTCGATTGGCATTTAGGTTTACAGCTGTCTAATTTAGATTTCTGTTTATGTGGGTCTGTAAGTATTTTAAAAAATACATGATTGTGCTTATTTGGGGTTTTAATTTATAACAAATGTTTCCTGCTATGAATTACCAGAAATAGACTTTATTTCTGAAGGCTTATTCATATCATCTGCAGAATATTAATGTGCTAAAGATGATGTGATCGAACACTGAGCGATCAAAGTTTAATCAAATTACTCAAACATATCTTATGATAATATCTACAAAACCTTTGTGTGTGTGCACACACACACACTTATTTGCTAAGCTTGATTTAGACTAACCACAATAGTGGAGCACCCAGTAAGGATTAAACTTACTAATATGAACTGCCTTGCTAACCATTGCACTATAATTAGTACCCTATAGATAAATGGATTTAAACTTGTATATATGACAAATTGTAAGAAAAGTTTGTCATACATCTTTTCTTTCAAAACTGTTCTTGATATATAAAGATTTATATATCATTATCCCATATATATATATATATATATATATATATATATATATATATATATATATATATATATATATATACATGTGTGTGTGTGTATATATATATATATATATATATATGTTATTTTTAGTGTATATTTGTATTTGAGTAGAATCTGTGTTTTTTTTTTTGTTTTTTGTTTTTTTAATAGTATTTATTTCACCTACATACTTGCACACTTAAAACTTATTAAAAGAAATACGAACCCGATTCCCCTTTGCAAGAGAAACCACCATCAGATCCGGTATTCCTTAACCACTCGGTGATGAAGAGCTCCACAATTAAGCATGGTTCTATTTGGCTTTAAAACACACTTGTTCAGATTCTCTTGAAAGGCATATCTGATCAGTTTTGTATCTGAGGCTTAAATAAATTCTGTAATAAGTTTTCTCAATTGTGCAGGCTGGTAAACAAAATAAATACTGTTTAAATAAAAACAGAGCCTCTACTCCAATACAGGTATTCACTAAAATAACATTTGAAGTAATAAAAATATCAGATAAAAAATAAAATACATTAATTCTTTAGAAATTATATATAAAATGTCAACTAAATCTTTGCATTTTCCATTTTTCTAAATGCTTGTAATTGATTTTTATGTGTGCGCAATATGCACTGTCTAAATAAAGATATCAAAGAATCTCTATTTTATAAAACTTCTACCATTACTGTCTCTCTGCCTAGAATCTGACTAAAATTTTGCATTTAAAATTTGTGTGGGCATGTATATCTTATTCAAAACTTTTGACAGCATTTGTAATTTCCCTTTTGATTGTGATCTTTCTCATTTCAAATTAGCTTACTCAGAAATGAATAGAGCAAAGCTGAAATAAGAGAAATTAAAAGAAAATTGTAATAGATAATTGTATACATACTAATTTGTTGATTGCCTTTGGTTATCTTATGTAGATTTTTTTTTCTTTAAAACAGTTAACTATTTTTTTTTTTTTAGTTTTATATGCAGTTGAACGATCCAGTAATATGTAGAAAGTCACTGCAGTTCAGTTAGATGGGTAAAAAATAAGATTAGAAATTCAGAGAAGTATTAGGAACAATCATTTTCTCTCTCTCTCTCTCTCTCTCACTCTCACACACTCTTTTTTTCCACCTCTCTCTCACTCTCTTTTTTTCCACCTCTCTCTCACTCTCTTTTTTTCCACCTCTCTCTCACTCTCTTTTTTTCCACCTCTCTCTCACTCTCTTTTTTTCCACCTCTCTCTCTCTCTTTTTTCCACCTCTCTCTCTCTCACTCTCTCTTTTTCCACCTCTCTCTCACTTACTCTCTTTTTCCACCTCTCTCTCACTTACTCTCTTTTCCACCTCTCTCTCACTTACTCTCTTTTTCCACCTCTCTCTCACTTACTCTCTTTTTCCACCTCTCTCTCACTTACTCTCTTTTTCCACCTCTCTCTCACCTCTCTTTTCCACCTCTCTCTCTTACTCTTTTTTTCCCTCTCTCTCACTTACTCTTTTTCCACCTCTCTCTCTCCTTTTTTCCCACCTCTTTTTCCACCTCTCTCTCCTTACTCTTTTCCCCCCTCTCTCTCACTTACTCTCTTTTCCCCCTCTCTCTCCTTACTCTCTTTTCCCCCCCTCTCTCTCCTTCTCTCTTTCCCCCCTCTCTCTCACTTACTCTCTCTTTCCACCTCTCTCTCGCTTACTCTCTTTCCACCTCTCTCTCGCTTACTCTCTTTCCACCTCTCTCTCGCTTACTCTCTTTCCACCTCTCTCTCACTTAATCTCCTCTTCAACCTCACTCTCACTTACTTAATCTCCTCTTCAACCTCACTCTCACTTACTTAATCTCCTCTTCAACCTCACTCTCACTTACTTAATCTCCTCTTCAACCTCACTCTCACTTACTTAATCTCCTCTTCAACCTCACTCTCCTTACTTAATCTCCTCTTCAACCTCACTCTCCTTACTTAATCTCCTCTTCAACCTCACTCTCACTTACTTAATCTCCTCTTCAACCTCACTCTCACTTACTTAATCTCCTCTTCAACCTCACTCTCCTTACTTAATCTCCTCTTCAACCTCACTCTCACTTACTTAATCTCCTCTTCAACCTCACTCTCCTTACTTAATCTCCTCTTCAACCTCACTCTCACTTACTTAATCTCCTCTTCAACCTCACTCTCCTTACTTAATCTCCTCTTCAACCTCACTCTCACTTACTTAATCTCCTCTTCAACCTCACTCTCACTTACTTAATCTCCTCTTCAACCTCACTCTCACTTACTTAATCTCCTCTTCAACCTCACTCTCACTTACTTAATCTCCTCTTCAACCTCACTCTCACTTACTTAATCTCTTTCTCTTCCTTAAATGAAGACCATGTTGACTTTATCTTGTTGATTAATTTAAGAAATGTGGATAAAAATGGGATGACTATCAAAAGAATTAATTTATAACACACATTTTCTTATCTTGTTTAGAATATATATTTATCTAGTAGACTCCCCTAAACCTTTACAAAACATGCATGCCTATAAATATATCAACCGATGACAGTAATATAACATATGCCTGTAATTACAGCTTAGCTATTTGCCAACAAGATTTTTTTTTAACTTAAATACAAAAACAAACTTATTTTATTAAATTTTCAGGTAGTGCCCTTCATTATATGAACAATTTAAATGTTGGAATCTTTACAGTGCTTTTGAAATTATTTTGGGCTTTTGCTATATGAAATATATGTGAAAATTTTGATAAGGCATGTTTGCAATATGGGGTACAGTAAAAAAAAAAAAAACAAAGATCATTTTATATTTTCTACTGATTAATTTTTCAGTTAAAATTAAAGCATTTAAGATGTTATTTTCTAATTTTTCAAGTCAATATAGTTCTTCTCTAATGAAACAGGAGAACAGAAGCATTGCTCATTACTAATCTTCCTTATATATTTATATTTTATTATCTTTTCACAGTTTAATAAGTTTTATATTTTTAAAGTCATTAAAAAAAAGTTAAATTTCTGAACTGCCAGAAAATTACTTCCTATATGAATAAATAAAAGAAAAAGTAGATACTGTCTCTGACTAGTGGATTGTGCAGGTCACATAACTTAAGAATTTCAGTCATTGTGCATTTTCATAGGATAACACATTCTAGACTGCTGAGGGATGTGTTTTTATTGAGTGTTTATCCATCTGTTGACTGGTTACCAACCAAGGCTAAGCAGCTTAGTCTGTTCTGCTATTTACACTGAGTAGAGATGAATTCATACCTTTCCCAAAGGGATTTGTACAAAAGTGAATGTAACAAACTCATCCAGAAATCAAATTTAACTTGCAAATTTCTTTTTTTTTTTTTCAAACTACTGTTACGTTACCCACACTAAACTAATTATATGCTATATATTTTATTATAATTCTGATTAATTACTTAATATATTTACTATAATAAAGTAATTTCTGACAATTACTACAAAGAAACAACTGTTAATAATTCTATGAAATAAATGTTATAGTCTAATGTTCTGAAAATAGATAAGGTTTTTTTTTCTTAGCTAAAATTTGTTTTTTTCTCACTTTTGTCATGTTTGTACATATGAGTAAAATTTTTATATATATATATATATATATATATATATATATATATATATAAATAAGTATTAAATAATACAAAGTATTAAAGAGAAAAAAAAAGGGTGATTTTGTTAGGATAATTTAAAATATTTACTGAGTTTATCTCTTAGTTTTTATCATAAGAAAACTTACATAAATATGACTTTTTTATGTTATAATTTTACTTTGATATTTGTTCACATGCTATAATATAAAATAATTTAAATAAATATTTTTTAAGTAGGTAACCTGTAATTTTTAATATTTGTTTAACAATCTATGATATTAAAAAAAAAACTTTTCCAGCAGTGAGAGTATGCATGCATATATATATATATATATATATATATATAGAGAGAGAGAGAGAGAGTGAGAGTATTTAGGCTATCAGTTATTGTAAGATCATGGGATTAACAGTTGTATCAGTATAGAAAATTTTTCATTTTAAAATTTAGTTGTCATCTTTAATGTTTATACAAATATATGCTCTGTGAATAATACAATTATCTTTTCCTAACCCTAAGGAGCACTAACATTGCAAAAGATTTAGTAGATAAATATTGTGAACTTTTTTTTATGAATAATAATTAATATCATAAATAGATTTCAATTTGTTCTCAATTTAAGGAGGCCAGAAATCACATCCAATCTAATTTAAATGTGACTTTACATCTTATGTCTGATTATTTTTATTTCCATTATTTGTTGATGTTTTATAGATTTCTATCTAATGAGAATTAAATTTAAAATAATCATATGGTTTCAGGATTTTTATATTGGAGATATAAAAGTTTGATGCATAATAGCAAAATGATTAAATTAACCAGTTAATTACTTACTGAGACTTTGTTAATTTTCTAGTAAATCCCCAAAGAAAAACCTTGTCTGTAACTATTATTTTGTGGGGGTTGCTAGGTGGACATCAAATATGTTTACAAGAGAGAATTTTCATCATGATACACTGATTTATTCAAACTGGTGTTCTCATTCTCATTGTTATACACACACTGATTCCGACATTGTATCATCCAGCTTCTTCATATCTTCTGTATTTGGAAATTTCAAACTAAACCTTTTCAATCTACAGGAATACATTATTCTCATTCCACTGTCCATGCTAAAGGATTTCTTGTAAGAGTTAATTCAGCCTTGTAATGCCAATTCTCATTCCACTGGTCCAAAGTATATTCACTGCCTGACTCAGAGATTGAACTCACAGCCACCAGATAAGTGTATTCATTTATTCAACACTTATATATAACCAGTGCATTACAAAGGGTATTATAGCTGAAATATTATGACCATAACAACCAAGCTGAGAAATAATAATTGTACATGTCAAAAATAGCTGAAATACTATGACCATGAAAAACTGAGAATATATTTATGTATAATAATTTCTCATCTCAGAAATTCAGACAAAAAGGAGAAATTTTTCAATTTAATTTTTCTTTTGCAATTCCACAAAAACAAAATGAACAACCAAATTGTGAAATCTGAAAAAAAAATCCAGATTTGATATACACATTCACTTGCTAGCAAAACAGTCTTTAATAGTAAGTAAAATTCTTATTAAAAAAATGATTAAAGAGTGATGAATTTGAACTAAATTACTTCTGTCACACACTCAAGAGTGTCTCAATTCCAGTTATGTCTGCTGATGTCCTTTGGATGATAATTCTTTTGAAAAAGTGAAAATCTATATCTGTTGGCCTTCATTATTATATGCACTTAAAATAATATGGATCTCTGACAGGAAAGGAAGAAGTGACTAATCAATGATCTTACAAAACTGATTAATCAACTGAGAGAAAGCTTGTTAAACCTATCTAACTTGGTTGGTTTTGTCAATATACTTACAATTAATCATTCATCAAGCAAAACTTCATCCTTTTGTCATCCCATCATGTGGCAGGGTTTGAAGGGCATTACATTGTTTCAGTGGTTCTCTTGAGTGAATACAATAGGCTTGATTAATTAGAAATGGCAACCTAACTACATTTTTATACAATAAAGTTTGTCATATATTCAGTATATCAGAGAAATTGTCTTCCCTTAAAAGACCAGATATATTTGGTTTGTATCCCAAACTTGATTATTTGAGAGTCGGTTTATATAATTTGGGTCATGTTGGCTGGATTGCAACCTAAGATGTTTCACTATTGTTGTTTTTTTTTTTCCCTTTAATGTGTTAATCATTTTTTACAGAAAAAGATACCGTATATTGAAAGTTCATTTGTAATATATGTATATAGGATATCTATACCTCATAGATATTGTGGGTTTGGTTCCAGGACATTGCAATAAAGTGAATATCACAAAAAAAGCAAGTGATACTAATTATTTGATTTCCCAGTGCATAAAAGTTAGGTTTACACTACACTGTAGTCTATTAAGTGGGAAATAGTATTATAAACAAAAAGAAAAAATACACACACAATGTACATAGCTTAATTGAAAAATATTTTATTGCAACCAAAATGTGACTCACATATATAAAGTGAGCAAATGCAACTGGTAAAATGGTGTCAATTGACTTGCTAGAGACAGTTGCCAGAAAATTAATTTGTAAAAAGCATAATATCTGCAAAGTTGAGAACAATATATTTACTGATTTGTATCTGTAAGATTTTATTTTTTAATTGAAAATAATTGAATTTTGGTAGTATTGATTGTATATTGGAGTGAGTGGTGGTAGGTCCTGATGAGTCTATGAACCTTGTTTTCCAGTTCTTCATAAAATCACTGAAGCTGAGCAATATTGAGCCTGGTCAGTACCAGATGGGTGACCACTTGTGAATTCCAGGTGCTGTAAGCTTGTATGTGCAGGTGATGTAATGGATAATAGCTTGGAATTGGAAATTGAAGAGTTTATTTCAATTCCAGCCAGTTTTGTTATATTCACTTACATACAAATACTCTTGGGAAAGATATGAATCCACCTTTTCTCCCCTCCCCACAACTATGACTAGTATCAGTAAATTATTATTATCATTCAAATATTCTTACAATCTAAAAATATGTTATGGCTTTAAATAACCTGCAAAGAGTTGATAAGCTGTAAAAAAAAAAAAAAAAAAAAAAGTCAATCAATCAAACCTTGTTTTGTTCAACATTACCTGCTAATAATTTGTTTACATAAGCCAGAATTGTTAAGCATAAAACAAATTTCGTTTATAATTGAATTTAAGGAAGATAA